TTATTGATTGTATCAGGAAGCTCACTTTGGCACACAATTGATGCAAAATGAGTGTTTGGGCAATTATACTTGTCAGATAATTTATTATACGGACAATTTAAAAAATTATTCTCAGTTCCAGAGCAGTTCAAATCAATCATATGATATGGCCATAATGAAAATGGATAGAAAAACCCTGAAGCAGCTACAGCTCCTGTAATGATAAATAATACATGTAGTTATATAGGATGTAGTTTTACAGGAAAAATTAAATAGAGCATAAAAAAGGTTTTTAAAAGCCATGAACTACAATTACAGCTATGATCAACCATAAAGCAGCTCATTGATTAATCATCTTAGTTACTACTACTAATGCAGCTGCATGTATATGTCCTCTCTTAAATTTCAAAGTCTGCAACAAGTAATTTGCTACATAAAAATTGCTATAATATGGTTACTATTTACTTAATTAAACATGCTTCACTATACACAGTGTCATCATTACTATGTCAACAAACTGGAAATGCATTTTTAACTATTATGATCTAATATCACACTGACCACAAGGGGAATATCCTAGCTGACTGCATATTACACTAGCATCATTATTATCCCAAAAGTCACTGCAAACTGTTCCCCAAGTACCATTAATACACAATTCCACACGACCAGTAGAAGAAGTTCCTTCTTGTAACCTAATAGAACCATCCTCACAGAGAGCTATGAGAATAAAGTAATACATGTACTTTATACTAGTAATGAGAGATACATGTAACTCACGTTCACATTTTAACCCAATGTCATAATAATGATTGGAGCATTGTGAATTAGCAACCACAAATGGATTTCTGTCACATTCAAGTAATGAGTTTTCTGATCCAGTACAAGACATGTATCCAAGAAACACAGGACCAGTACCTTGACCATACTCACTACTGCTAAACTGCTTTCCAGCTAAAATAATAATTTAATTCTAAATCAAAAGTCAAACTTCATTAATTACCAAATTCCTGGTATCCCAATTGTTTGCAAGCAACTCTAGTATCTTTAATATCCCATTGCTGACTGCATACAGTGCCCCACAATTGATTAATACACACTTCAAGTCTTCCTTCATTTTCTGCTGAGCCACCAACCAAACGAACATCTCCAGATACACAACTAGCTGGTTCCAATGTCACATCTAATCACAAAAATGATGAATTTTGTTTTAAAAATTGTAGACCAATTACTTTGACAAATAAGTGAAGCATCATGAGATGGCGAACAGGAACCAGTCTGATTATGTGAACAGTTAAATATACTGACCTCATCACCAGTACAATTAGGATTAACTATACCAATAGGCCATATAGTCTCAGTATAATATCCAGAAGCAGGTATAGCACCTATAATAAAGTTCATATGCTGTAATACAGTGTATAATGTACCATATGGAGAGTATCCAAGTTGATTACATACAACAGAAGCATCTTTATAGTTCCAGTGGTCACTGCATATTGTAGTCCATATTTCATTAATACATATCTCCACTCTTCCATAAGTATAATTTCCACCCTTCAGCCTTATAGTACCATTATTGCAACGAGCTATTATACAGTAATATTGATAGTTAACACAAAAAATACTTCACTTACGTTCACATATAACAGCAGCATCATTGAAGTGATGAGAACAAGCAATAAATAAATCAGTTGTACTATAATTTTGACAACAATCAGTCAAGGACTTCTCTTGTCCTGAACAATTTAGGTATCTTAGAAAAATTGGTCCTTGACCTTGATTAAAGCCAAGACCAGATACATCACTAAAACTGTAACCTATATATTAATATACAATAAGTTAACTTTTATAGGCCATTCATTTGTCGCTAACCAATTTCAAGTGCTCCTAAATATCTACAAACAACTTTAACATCATTGCTAGACCAGCCATGAGAACAAACAGTGCCCCAGGCATTGTTAACACAAACTTCAACTCTTCCTGAAA